TAATTTTAACAACAAACCAACTACAAGGAATACAGACCCCAAATAATTAAAGCTCAAAGCATTTAAACTTAAACTCCTTGTCGATGTTCGTACAAACTCAGTTTCTGCTGTAGCTATCTATAAAATATAGTTCTCTAAGTTCTAGCCAGATGTTTTATGAAGTAGATCTTCCTAATTTAGTTAGCTACCAAGCCAAGTTAGTGTTGCTGCTAATACAAGGCACCAGGCTGCGTTATATAGTGAACTTACTCACACCTATTGATCTTACATCCTTTGTACTCAGGTTTTTCACTGGATTAGGTCTTAACTGGCTTGATCATTGAAATCTGTACTACTTTTCAAACTTGAGATTTCTACCATACAGATCCCCCACTTATAGATCCTATCAAGATTTATTCACGTAACATAACTTGAGTATTGCATTACACTTTCAATATCTGATTGATATTAGTACAACATGATTTACAGAGTTGTAACTTCCAAAAACAAGCAGAGTTTACTGTAAGTTGGGTAAAAAGGTTCAGATAATTATTCAAATTTATTGATAATAGAATTTGAACTCCAGACCTCTTGCATAGTGGTCTGGTAACTTAACTACTACACTAAGATCACCAGACCTTTGAATTTATAATTTTTTTTTTTTTTTTTTTTTTTGAAAGCGAGATCTTGTCTCAGTTTTTTATTAATTTTTATATGTGAGTACATTACAATAAAATTAGTGTAGTATATATGTTAATTCTAAAACTAAAAACTCAGGCTAGTTTACCTGCGACCCAAACTTTGCTAAGAGGGTCAAAGCTTCACTTAGTCTGTGATATTCTTAATATAGTTAGGTAATGTATTATAACGAGTAAACATTTTGAACCAAATTGATATTTTGTTTTATATTTTGTTCTTCATATTGTCCTTGTTACATAGTATAGTATTTATTTTATCAGGTATATTGAGGTTTTCGACCTCAATAGGTTCTGGTTGACTTGAGCTTGAGTGTTGGGATTGGCATCGTATAACCCATATTTTCTGATATAGGTTTTTAGTTATATTATGTGCTATATATGCTGCAAGGTTGCCTTGTTTTTTATAGTTTTTTGTATATGTGTTAATTTGCTAGGCCTGGTCAAATGTCAGCAAACCTTGTATAGCAATTAAATTGTCATTAGTTAATCTAGTTTTAAAAATATTAATAATATTTAGTATATGTTCGTTATTTTGTATTTCAAGTTTTCTAGTAATTTTATGAACTGTTTCTATGATGATATCATGAATTGAATGTTCATTTTGAGTGCATAATATCCAGTGTTCATTAGTTTCTGCCTCTGTTAAACATCTTTTGTATTTGTTGTTTAGGTGTTTGCGTTGGTTTCTTTTGAATAAGTTTGTTTGAGTAGGGAGTTTGTCTAAGTGGAGTTTAAGTTTAAATGCTTTGAGCTTTAATTATTTGGGGTCTGTATTCCTTGTAGTTGGTTTGTTGTTAAAATTA